TGAAATGTTTGCACGTTTATGTGGGTGCTCTGGTGTGGTTTGTTTCTTCTTTCCTATTAAAGATATATCATCCTTATCTCCCCTTCTTCTTTTTTATGTTTGTTACTCTCTTGTAACATGCCAATCTTCTGGCGCCCATATTACCTTATGCAGTTGCGAGCGCTGTAAAACCTCTACTAAAACTAAAGCATGTTTCTCTTCTCTTCCACACAGGGACTGCTGTCCTTCCTGAGTGCCCCTCTGATCGGGGCGTTGTCGGACGTATGGGGACGCAAGGCCTTCCTGTTGCTGACGGTGGGGTTCACCTGTGCCCCCATACCTCTCATGAGGCTCAGTCCATGGTGAGGCTCAGGTCTGCCCTTTCCTGGGCTGAAATAAGATAAGATAAGATAAGATAATACTTAATTATCCCAGAGGGAAATTTTTCTTGGCTGTACAGGACCGTAAAAACACACGCAGGTATACATAAAGAAATTAAAAAATTAAAATTCAATATGAAAAGAGAAGTAAAGCTGACAAAATATAGGGTTGGAGCATTTTAAATTATAGAATTATCCGGATTAGTATCCAATTCAGAGAGTTGGATACTGCAAAAAAAGAATGTATTTCTTTGAGGTGGGTCTTGGTTGTAACGAGACAAAGTTGTTCTGAAAATGGATGGTTGGCAGGTGTTCTGGTGTGGTTTGCTCCTTCTTTCCTATTAAACATAGGTGAGACATCGTAGTGAAATCAGACGCTCGTCAGATCAATGTAATCAAAGAAACCAATATTTTTCTGGGCGTTGGGCAATTTTTTCGAATTTAATTTTTTGGCCTCAACACCTTTCATATCCTTTTAAAAACATATTTCTGTGTGGATGTTGCCGAAAAATGTTCATTTAAGGCACAAAAAATGTAAATTTCCAGTATCCAAGGACATTTTAAACTTTGGAAGTCTCCATGCTTTGGCAGCCATTTTCTTGCTAATTTTATCTTTCTTATCAGCCAACCCCCACCTCCTTCGGTTGCAAATATCTCAACATCTATTCAAGATAGAATTGGGTGTTCTTTTCGCCAAATGCAAGACAAATGAACTAGCTTCAAGATGATACCAGTAACTCCACATGCCCCAAAATTGACGAGCGCCTGATTCCATCGCGTCATGACACACATATTGTCGTTTTCTGCCCTCTTTGTTACTTTCAAGTAATATCTCTAATCCTCGGCATTTATATGACTTATTCGTGTTGCAAGTGCAGTAAAACTCTTTTAACTAAAACTAAAAAATATACACTTTTCTTTCCGTCAGGTGGTATTTTGCCATGTTGTCCATCTCGGGCGTGTTTTCGGTGACGTTCAGCGTAGTGTTTGCTTATGTCGCTGATGTGACCTCAGAGGAGGAGAGGAGCTCTGCTTATGGACTGGTGAGTGTGTGTGTGTGTGTGTGTGTGTGTGTGTGTGTGTGTGTGTGTGTGTGTGTGTGTGTGTGTGTGTGGGTGGCGTGTGTGTAGGGTGTAGGTGTATGTGTGTGGGGGGTTAGCAGATGCTCTGGTGTGGTTTGCTCCATCTTTCCATTGTCCTTATGTCTCCTCCTTCTTTTCTTTGTATGTTACTCTCTAGTAACAATTATGATATCTGCAGGTGGTTGGAGGGCGCCACTTGCTTCTTTCCTGTACTACATGACCTTTATGGTGTCAATGTTCTTCTCTTTGCTCAAAGTCGCTGCTAATCTTCGGTACTTTTATGAACTGTTCATTGTGTCGCAAGTGCAATTGTAAAACTGTTGGTGGTTGACGGGTGCTCTGGTGTGGTTTGCTTCTTCTGTCCTATCAAACATCTATCGTCCTTATCTCCCCTGCTTCTTTTTTGTGTTTGTTACTCCCTTGTAACACCTCTAATCTTCGGCACTTGTATGACCTTATTGTGTTGCAAGTGTCGTAAAACTATTACTAAAACTAAAAACTCATAACTAAAAACTAAGCTGAAATGTCTTGTCTGTGTGCGTCAGGTGCAAGTGCTTTAAAACTCTTACACCTATACTAAGTGGGTGGTTGGCAGGTGCTCTGGTGTGGTTTGCTTCTTCTTTACTATCAAACATCTATCGTCCTTTTCTCCCCTCCGCCCGTGTGCAGGTTGCGCACGTTAAAGATCCCTTGGTGGTCTAAAATCGATAAGAGTAGGCTTCGGCCGCCACCCGGGCAAAATTCAAAATTTCCTACCAACGAAAAAGTATTAGGTGTGTCCCGCGCGCTCATATGACCTTATGCAGTTGCGAGCGCCGTAAAACCCTATACTAAACAAGCAAAACATTTTCTCCCCTCCTTCTTTTTTATGTTTGTTTCTCTCTTGTATCACCTCTAATCCTCAGGCACTCATATGACCTTATGCAGTAGCGAGCGCTGTGAAACCTCTACTAAAACAAAACGTTTGTCATCTTTATCTCTCCTCCTTTTTTATCTTTGTTACTCTCTTGTAACACCTCTAATGTTCGGTGCTTATGTGACCTCATTGTGTTGCAAATGTCGTAAAACACGTACTAAAACTTTAAAAACTTACATATACTAAACACGGGCATAACATCTTTCTGTGTCAGGTATCGGCCACGTTTGCGGCCAGCCTGGTGACGAGCCCTGCCATCGGCGCCTTCCTCCAGGAGCACTACAGCGAGAACATGGTCATCTGGCTGGCGGCGTCCATCGCCATACTGGACATCCTGTTCATCCTTGTGGCCGTGCCTGAGTCGCTGCCCGAGAAACTGCGCCCGGCCAGCTGGGGCTCGCAGATCTCCTGGGAGAAGGCCGATCCTTTTGGGGTACGTGGTTTTTTGTTTTGTTTAAAAAAAAAAAAAAGAAAGCCAGTGGGTGGTTGGCGGGTGCTGTGGTGTGGTTTGCTCCTTCTTTCCTATCAAACATCTATTGTCCTGATCTCTCCTCCTTCTTTTTTGTGTTTGTTACTCTCTTGTAACACCTCTAATCTTCGGCACTTATATGACCTTATTGTGTTGCAAGTGCCGTAAAACTCTTACTAATACTAACGAGCAAGCCGTTTTGTTGTTTTTATTTTATTTTGTTGAAGGGGGCGGGGGGTTCTCCGTGTTGCTTTACATTGACGTTTTGTAAGTGCATTGCTTGCATGTGTGGACAGAGAGATGACAGTGCCTTTTTTTTTTTTTAGCTTATTGGGTAGTAGTTCTGCTTGAGAAACTGATGATATTAAGGGGTTGCATTTTTCAAAAGTCAGTTTTCTCGAGGTCCTTCCTTTTACTTTTATTGTACCTACCACTCGTAATATCTTATTTTTGTAGCTCTGTAATAAATATTAGTTGGGTCATGGTACTGGTTTTGTTTTGTTTTTCCAATGGCATATGTTAACTGTGGGTGGTTGGTGGGTACTCTGGTGTGGTTTACTCCTTCTAGCCCATCAAAGATATATCACCCTTATCTCTCCTTCTTTTCTTCATATGTTATTCTTCAGTACACCTCTAATCTTTGCACTTATAAATGAGCTTATTTGTGCTGCAAGTGCCTTAAAACTCATACTTAAACATAAAGCAAACAAGATGTTACCTGTTTTATCGGTATCTGTATTGATCCTGTCTGTAGGATGATAAGGGTTGTTGTGGACAAGTTCATAGCTTTGAACCCCGGTGTTTAAAAAACATTTTTAATACGTTTTTGAGGGTCTAAGTATGGGAGTCCGTTTTTTTTGTTGGAAAATATGTATCCTCTGTTTGCTAGTATAGCTCCTAATGAGCTTTTCAATGCTCTGGAAAAATTATGAACCAGATTCGCGTTTCATGGCCTTTGTTATAATGTTCTGTTTATTTTCCTCAGGCTTTAAAGAAAGTGGGTCAAGACCTGCTGATTCTGCTGTTGTGTGTGACGGTGTTCCTCTCCTACCTGCCTGAGGCTGGGGAGTATTCTTCTATATTTGTGTATCTCAGACTGGTAAGTCTATTATTCTTCTATATTTGTCTATCTCAGACTGGTAAGTCAAATATTCTCTCTGAAAATAAAAATAAAAGTAAATAGTATTTGTATAGCGCACTTCCCCTCTCCACAGCAAGTTCTATGGACTTTACTAGTGGCAGCGGTGGCCTAGTGGTTAGGCTACCGGACTCGTAATCATAGGGTTTTGGGGTCGGGGGTTCGAACCGCGAGCCCGACATTGAATCCTTGGGAAATGGACTTTGCACGAATTTTCCTCACTTCGCCGTGGTGGGACTGGGTACCTGGCCATAGACAGCGAAAGATCTTGTCAGTATGTTAGTGTTTTAGCGCCTATAAATGGCTGCTTGCACTGTATGCTTCCCAGGAAGTTGAGGATGTTTCAGAATGCTCGCAGGTCTGCTGGGGTGATAGTATAGATTGTGAAGCGCATACTGCTGTTGAGCAGTATCTGTTCTATTGCCCCAGCAAACCCAAGTGCACTCGGAAACATTCTCAGCTTCCCAAGAAGGACACAGTGGGAGAAGCTGATAAAGTGCTAGAACACTGACAGACTGACATAATTTTTTGCCTTCTACAGACATATACCCATTCCCACCTTGTTAAGTTAGGATTCGAGTAATGGGCTTTTCCCAAGGACACAACATCAGGCCCCTGATGGCTTTGAACCCAAGACCTAGTTGTGAAACCAACAGCCTAACCACTAGACTACAGACACCCTGGAGTCCCTGTAGCTGATAGTTAAAGTCGGAAAGTGGAACAAACTAATGAAAAAGAAGATTACCTTGAATACTCCTTAACATTAGAAATGCAGTAGTATTATCTAAAAGCGAGCAGTGCAATGGAGATGTCTTGAGAGTTGACCACGTTTTGAATTTGTAGAGTTAAAATGTTGTATTTGAATTACTTTCCTCCGTGCGATGGTTTTGTCACAGTGTACTGTTCTCTATGTTCCCAGGTGATGGACTTTTCCAGAGAAGAAGTTGCTTCATATATTGCTGTTGTTGGTGTATTATCTGTTTTAGCTCAGGTGAGTTTGTGAATATTTCTTTATAATTTTGGTCGTTTTATTGGG